CTTCTTATTCTTTTAAAGCCAGTCTGTCTCCTTCACGGCTCTGGGGTCCTTGGAGGGAGGACCAGCGTCCTGTGGTTTCCACAGTCCCACACCCAGCACAGAGTCAGCACACATTAGAGTCTTATACCATCTATAATCAATAAGATATTGTATAAGCCAAAGCTGCTTATTACAAATACCTGCAATTTCAATGACATCTACACTGTCCCTTAAAGAAACTTCTACCCAAGAAACCCCTGTGGTGACCCTCCCCTTCTCCTTTAAACCTGCCCAGTTGAATCCAGAAATCTGGGGGTGGGGCCCAGCCATCTGGGTTTCCACAAGCCTTCCGGGAGCACGGATGCCTTTGGGGCTTGAGAACCCTGCTTTCCCCCTTTTATCCCACAGCCACAAAGGAGCCTCAGCGTAACTGTCACCAGCACTGTGATGTATTCGCCATCCTCACTGTACACGAGGCAAGTGACTGAATGCGTGTCAGAGACGGACCCCCAGGATGGAAGGTTCTGGCAAGGCCTGTGGGGGAAGACAGCGGAGGACGGGGGAGGAGGGGGAGGAAACTGCAGAGACCTCAAAGGGCACCGCGCGGCCCAGCACATCCTCCTGCACCCACTGCATCCTCAGTGGCCCCGGGAACCCCTGAAGCATAGGGGACAACTCCGTACGTTATTTTCACTCTCGTATTTACTAAGGCAGGGAAAATGAAACACATTTTTCAGACATCTCAAACCACAGTGTGCGACTGTACCTGATGGCACCCCGCTTCAGAATCAGCCTGGCCGGTGACCTTGACCCCATGCTGTCTCCGGTTTGCAGACACACAAACAGCACCGTCCCCCACTGAGCCTCCTCAGCGCCCTTCGGACGGGGCAGCCCCCTCACCAAGCGGGCCAGGCGAACCGCCACCCGCGGACATTCCCTCGGAACTTCCTCTTCTCTCTCACATGCCCCAGCTGAGTTGTAAAAAAAAAAAACCAAAACTCGTTCTAACACTTTCCCTCAAATATTTGTAGGTAATTAATTCACTGTTAATCAGTTGAGAATGGGTCTTTTATACTTTGTAAATAAAGAGAGAGCAGCAGCTCCAGTCCCTGCAAACAGGGTGTTTCCATGTGCAATTGGGAGGCAGCTTACTGGGAAGGGCACCTTGACGGCAGCCTGTGGCTGGGGCCGCGGGCCTGATGTCTGGGTACCAGGACGGAAGGGGCTTCTGGGACTGGGGAGCCCGCCCCAGCTCCCTGTCCCTCTCTCCCAGTCACACCAGCTGCTCTGCCTGTGTGTATGGCCGAGGGCTTTCCAGTGAGTCATCGCGAGCAGCTGGTGACTGAGGGACCGCATAAACAGGGGCCCTGGTTTTCTCCGTGCTATATTTAGAATGGCACAGAAAATCCCATCCTTTGGTGTTTCCACCTGTTCAGACGTCCCCGAAGCTCCTCCAGCCCTGCCTGCCAGCACCCTCTGGTGCTGGGCCCTGTCCTGCAGGATCCAGTCTCCTGACAGCCGCTGAGGTCTCCTGGGGTCCCCCCCTCACCCCCAGCTTCCCCCGGCCCACCTGTCACTCCCTGCTTGAATTCCTTCACGGGCTCCAAGAGTCCCGAGGGACTCATTAGAGGGCCCTGCGCCTTGCAGGCCAGGGGCTCGCTCCCCCTTTGTTCCTGCTGCTAAACTTCAGGGCTCAGCAAAATCCCTGGGCCGGGATTTCTGCCTGAACAGAAGCATGGAATGGCGCATCTGTTTTTTGTCTGTACAGTTTCCTCCACCTGGAATGGCCGTTCCCAACCTTGGCTGCACATTAGATTCACCAAGGGTGATTTCAAAAGTCTTGAAGCCCCAGACACGTCAGAGACCAGAGAAATCTCAGTTTCTGTGGAGAGAGGGCACCCAGGCATCAGTACCTTTCAAGCCTCCGCAGTGATGTCCATGGGCAGCCAAGGCCAGCACTATGGCTCACAGTGACGGGCGCCCCCCCTACCCCCTTCCCTCTTCCGGCAAGCTCCTACCCACCTGACAAAGCCTAGCTACCATGCCAGTCCTCAAGGCATTGGGGACACCTGTGCACCAAGGTGCAGAGCCCCCCTTGGCACACCTAAGTCACAGGCCTTGTGGTGGCCCCCTGAGCCAGCCCCCATCCACATCACTTCAAGTTCCCCTTGACAGCTGCCCCTGGCTACCCCAGCCTTGGCCACCAGACTGAGAATTCCAGTGGCCACTCTGCTGGGTTCTCTCCACAGGGATGAGACCCAGCAGAGCCTTCCTAATGTGGATACTTTCATGTGGATGTTTTACTATTGATATTTAAAACATTTCTGGTCTGATCTATTTTGGATCATAAACTCCTTTATTCATTCAACAAACACAGATGATGCTTCTACTCCTCTCCATCCTGGGCTCCACATGGCATATAGAACGGTGTAGGGTAGAGAGAAGAGCTCGCACCGGACACAAGCAGATGCATTTCATATTCACTGCTTCATTCTATGGGCACAGCAGCCTCTGCAGGCCTGACAGGGCACCACCCTGCCACAAGAACCCAGTGCCCACGACTCCCAGCCTCAGCTCAGCAGGTCCTGGGCAGAGCCTTGGAGACCCACTGGGTACACAGCGCACCAGCTGGTCTACATCCTGGCTGGAGGGCGTCACAGAGCCGGCAGAGAGAAGGAAGGCAGCCCACTCTGCTGGGCTCTCCCGGTGCACTCAACAGCCCTTAATGACAGCACCATCTTGCCCATTTGACAGATGAGAAAACTAAGACTTGGGATAGTTAAACAGGGTTTCCAAGATGGCATGGCTTGGAATCGCACCACCATGGGGGCTTGGGCCTGGGTGTGTCTGCACCTGAGCCCTCTGCTGTCCGGGGTGAAGAATCCAGTAGCACGCATGGGGGGGCCTGGGCTGGCCTGTCTATGCAGAGGCCACGGGACTTTGAGCAGCCTTTTCAGCCCTGTGTTTTTAATCCTTCGTAAGTCTCCAACTGACCCAATAAATGCCCTGACATTGTCCCCATATATGCTTTACTGAAATTTAAAAGTTGTGCTGAAAAGAATGAAGTCTGCGTGTGTCTCTGGACGTATTCATGCCTGCCTGGTAGGAATACTGAACCATCTATATGGTGTCATCATGGAAGCCAGGCTTTAGAACCAGCAATCCCCAGTTCGAATCCCTCCTTCTCCACCCTACACTTCTCAGCAAAAGGAATAAAGCGCAGATCACTAAGCACCAGTGTCCCCTTCTCCAGCCTGCACCGGGCCCCCCAGCCTCACAATGACAGCCCACTCATAAGGTCAGTTTCATCTGTCCAGCGGCAGAAGTCACACATGCATTCTACTGGGTTCATTTCTTGACTAGAACACCTCTCTTTGGCACTTGCCAGACAGATTTCCCATGAGTCACTGGAAGAAACTGATAAATCTAGGAACTTACAACAGGTAAACATAAGCAACTAGTTTCCCAAATCAACTGGTTTCCCACTATATTTAGAATGTCACTGAGAGCTACGCCTCAGTTCTGGATGGCATTTTGAAAACATCAAAAGGTGGGCTGTTTCTTTTCTCCCTTGACTCTAAAAAAGAAGCCTTTTTAAACTGTTTTTTGAAGTTCCACAGTCAGACAAAATAAATATAGTTACTTGCTCCCACAGATTTGGCCAAAGGTAGCTGATAAGGAGGTAATTGTCACCAAGATTCAAAACACATGCTTGAAATTCTGGTTGGCAGTGGTTGACATTTGCATGGTATAAATATGCTTTTCTTTCAGAATGTCCCTATATTGTTCAGTTTGAACTTAACAATTGCAACAAATTTTAATGGTGACAAATGCCTTAGAAAAACGTCATTTCTGTCTTGGGCCTTTACATGGTGTGCAAAGTGTCAAAGTACATAATGACATAGTCCCCACAGTGAAAATCAGAATAATCTGCAAACGGTGTTTCTCAAACAGTCTCATAAATATTTCTGGGATTGTTTGCAAAGAGCCACAGCACATTACAATCCTAACAAGAAAGAATTTGGTCAAATTTTTGGTTACGAGAACGCCTGCACATACCTGGCTTACAAAGTGCTTTTGGTAAACCAGATGGGCAGGTCTTTATATACAGAACGCCCCAGCGAGTGATTCACCCCCTGCATTACTGTGTCTGTGCGGAGAAGCGGCCCTTCTCCAGGGACTCCAGGGCCCCATCATGATCCTCTCTCCCTCTCTTCGGCAACATCACTTCATCATATATTTTCAAATCAGATAAAACAGAAGCAATGTTTCTGTGTCTGGGCCAGGATGAGAGACTTTCACACTGAAGCTGGGGCGAAATCACCAGGTTCAGCCTCAGGGAATTCTCCATTTTAAAGACTCTTAGGCAAAGGAAGGTCTGAATTGGGAGCCTTCCCAGCCGTGGAGAATGTCACAGGAACCATTAAGGAAGTGCATTTCTGACTTAGGCATGAATGTTGCAGTATGATGGTTACTGCGCATTTTGTTATGCACCCCGGGGATGTGTGCACATAGGTCTGTGTATCTGGGGTTTTCTTGTGACCAATATGGCCTTTTGAGACATTTACTATTCTGGTCTGAAATGCTTCATAAATGTCGCGTGGTTAGACTGGGGTTTAACCTGTACTTGCATGAGTACATCCATTTAAAATCCCTGGGGAGGAAACTAGGCCCCACTCTATACAGGAAGAGCTTTATCAATGTAAGAGAGGATTATGCTGCCTGGGGCAAGTTCTTATATAAACATATGCCGACTTTGTGTTTTTGCAGTTGAGGTTTCTAATCAGCCTGCATTCAGTTCCAGGCTCAACAGAAACTGCTGATCAGACATCTTTTTTGTTTACACAGCTCTGTTTCTTTTTTACTTAGAAGTATCCTGTGCAGAATGCCTTTTCTGAGTTTCCCTGCAGAGTTGGAAGACAATAACCAAGGAAGGAGAAAGATATTGGGGGGAGGCAGACTCGAAATGGGGATCCCCAGACCCAGGTGCTGCCCAGCAGTGTGGGCCCTGGGGCACTCACCGTGGTCGTGGGCGAACACCAGCAGCTCCAGCCCCACCAGCATCTGAGCCAAGTCATCGTAGCGGCCACAGTGCTCCCCGGCTCCATGGGACACAAAGATGAGGGCCCTGCAGGGGGAGAGAGGCCAGTTAGGAAGGTGGCAGACCACTGAGGCTGCAGGCTGAGCAGCGCAGAGCTGTCACGGCATCAGCAATGAGTCAAGGACTAAATCACAGGCTGATTGGGTAAGTGAAGGTGATTGCTATTAAAACGCTGGGCTTCAGGGTGCCGTGGGATAGAGCCCAAATCCTGGCTCTCCACTGAGCTCTCAGGTAAGGTACCCACAACATGAAGCTTCATTTCTTCATCTGCGAATGATACATAATGACAGTATCTCCTTCCAGGGGCATCGTTTGTGAGGGTCCCAGGGTCTCCACCTGTGCTGGTTTCCCCGGAGCTGGCTGCCTGGGAGGCCCGGACGTAAGCCAGCCAGAACCCTCCGTGCTCATGGCCACTGTGAGGGGTTTGGGGACAGGTAAGTGGCTCAAGCCATGCCGATTGGGTCCAACAGAGCTGACCGGAGAGCTCTGGCTGGGAAGACAGAGGAAGGCACTTCCATTCCCCCAGCGTCCGAGGCTGGGGGCCTACGGTGGTCCCAGCCATCTGGCCAAAGCTGAGGCTGAGTCGCCCCAACAGAGGAGAACCACATAAAGAGGGGACACCCACACCTGACAGTGTCATGCCAGCCCTGAGTCCAGCTGGACCTGGACCCGGAATTGCCCCCCCACCTCCACCTTCTGCTGTGCTGTTGAAGTCACTGGGCTTTCTGTCCCTCGTGATGAGAAGAATCTTAATGCCGTGCAGCTCTTTGCATTTGTGGGGGTTGATTTTACTTCCACGCTCATCATCCATAGGCTGTTGATATTTTTATTATGTGTGTGCTTTTTCCTCTCTTCCCCTTTTCTCCATTGGCAAACTCCCCTTCCTTCAAGACCCAGCCTCCAGGTCCCCCTCCTCTGAGATTTTTTTTTGCAGCCTCAGAAAGGCTGTGAAGCCTCCTCTCTCCTCTGGGCTTCTGTAATCCCCTGCTACCGCTACAGGGGTGGTGGCTGCTTTCTGCCCACCTCCACCACTATAACCTGCCTGAGGGCACGCCGAGACGTCCCCCTCAATTGGTCTCCGGTGGCTGGCACAGTTTTGAGCTCATAGTGGGCCCTCTGCAAATGCCGTTGGAATGAATGAATGAATGAATGAATGACCAAGGTTGTGAGGTTGTAAAATAAATAGCTGTATTTCACACCCAAGATCTGTGTAGGACAAGCGTCAGGAGGTGGAAGCCAGATACGCTGGGTGCTCAGTACCCACGGAGAGCCTTAGACGTGGCAGAGCCCCGCTGGGACACGAACAGTACCAACCATTGAGCTGCGGCTCATCCCAGCCTCTCCGCCAGCCAGTCAGCCCAGCAGGGGTGGGGGGCGAATGAGAAGGCATTTAGGTTCTTAATATCCAATTGGCAAGACTCATATTCTTAGCATAAGACCTAAGGGGTCTCCTACGGGCAAGAAGTGAGTGCTGTGAGCCATATCCACCCAATTTCTGCCAATAATGAGGAGGAAGAGGTGGAGGATAGCTGCCACTGTAGTGAACATTAACTACGTGTTCCTTCCTCTGTACACTACACATACAGGATTTCCAACCCTAATAGTCTTAGTTATGCTCTATCTCCTTTACAGTTAAGAAGGAAATTCAGAGAAGTTAGGTAAATTGCCCAAGTCACACAGCAAGTTGGTAAAATGTAGATTAGATTATTCACTGCTCAGATTTCAGGGCTTCAGTGGGCCCTCCGGTGGACTCAGAATACCAGCCATCTGTCTCTTGCCCACCTCAGCACTCCTCCTGACCACCTTGCCCTCCTCACTTGGGGCTTCCAGCCAGTCTTCAGCAGCAACCGGTTCTTCCCACCTCAGAGCCTTTGGCCTTGCCAACCCCACCTACCTGGCGTGCTCTCCTCCAGATCACCCATAACTGATCCTATTGCTTGGGTCTCAGGACAGATGTTATAGCGCAGAGAGGCCTCTCTTCCGTTCCACCTAGAGTGGCCTCCCTCCCTTGGGCCTTTCTGACCTCCACTGGCCCCTCACTGCACATCACAGTTTGCATTGTTTTGTTCATTTACCTGACTGCTTGGTTCCTGGCTCTCTCCTCCAAACCAAGGTAAGCCAGGAGCCTTGTCCACCTTGCTAGCAGAGCCCCAGGTAGCAGTATCTCAGTTTAGCAGCACCGAGCAGGGATGGTGAGTGTGCACAGAGCAAATAATCACCTCATTCAAGAGCCTATGGTCTTCCTTCAGTTCCTCTCTGCCAGGCTGGGCAGGGGCAGAACCACCCGGCTTTGTTTCACCTCGCGATGCCTCTTATTCTGTGAGCAGGGCACAAACTACCAGCCTTTGCCTCTTTTTCCTTTGGCATCTCTCCTCCCTGCCTTTTCCCTAAAAACGTAAAAGAAACCCTTCACACCCTCTTCACTGCTCTGTGGGATGTCCAGCCACCTCTGCTTGATCAGCCATCAGTTTGGGCAATTACACCTGCCCACCAGGGGCTGCTGGGGTCGGCCGATGGGATTTCTCTCAGCTACCAAGGAGCATGGCTGACACCTCTAAGTCATCATCATCTCCCATCTGCAAAAGGAGGTGTGCTTCCAGAAGGGATGGCTCACCCACTTTAACATCCTTTGGGCCTGGGGCAGCTGCCCAGTTAACTCAGCCCACAATTAAGGCAGTCAGACAAGCGAATGAGCCGGGTCGGCCCCTCACTGCGGGCAGGGTCCAGATTGGTGGAGAAAGACTTTAGGATTCCACTTAGTATCCAAAGGAGGGGCACAAGGCATTGTTTCAGTGCTGGACTGCCTGTTAATAGAGGCCAGTCCTGAGGCAATATGTGGAAAAATACTTAGCCTTTCACTTTACAGGAACTTTTTCTAATCCAGTGCTTCTCAGCTTTGGCCACACCTTAAAATCACCCAGAGAGCTTTCAAAAATGCTGAGGCTGGGTCCCACCCCCAGAAGAACTACTGGGTCTAACTGGTCTGTGGGAGAGGGGCCCCTGTGTTTGACTGGCAGCCAAGGTGGGGAAGTGCCTGCCCTCATCTCAGTGCATATCTTGGGGCAATGATGTTCTTCAGATGCCACGTGCAACTTGCCAGTGGCAAGAATGCAGCCAGTCTGTGGAGACACAGCCACTTTGGGGCCACTTAACCTCCCTGGGGAACATGCTGGTAAACCATGGGTTACAACTGTAGGGATGTAGAAGCTTCTGGAGTTTGCTGCAGCCATGCCTTTGGAAATGAAGCAGAGTGACATGGCTGCCCACTGCAGCTAGCAGCAGCGTCTGCCTAGGCGGCGCAGCACCTGCGGGCCCAGCCCCCCTTCCCCCACCAGATCCAGGTCAGACACACTCTGACTCATTCTGGTCTTAAGTTGCAGCTGTGGGAAGTGGGGTTCTCCTTGGTTCCTGGATTCAGGCTCTTGCCTGGCCCCCAGTTCTGATAAATCAGCCTCCCCTCCCCCTCCCCACACTTCTTCCCCGGACCTGAGTCTTTGTTTTGTAGAATCTGTCTGGCAAAGTAAAAATCAAATCACAGTACTCTGCTTTAAATCCTTCAAAGACTTTGAGCTGCAGGAGAACAAAGCCTGCTGCCTCTGTGATAACATCCTCAGCTCCCCCCTCCCCTCTGCCCTGGCCTTTCAGGTGCTCACATATGCCAACTGGATGTGCTGTTCAGAGTTTAGCAGCTGGGGTGCAGGGTCCTGATCTGTAGCATTTGCCAGTTTTCATGGTGTAAATGCCCTCACCATGGCTGCCTTCAAGTTGTTAATGTAGCAGCAGCGGTCATGGGGTTGAGAGCAGGTGTGCGGGCCGCTGCCCCACGCGGCTGGCGAGCCTGCTCCCCACTCAGCCCCGGCACCGACTGCCACTGGGGACCATGTTACCTCTCATTTGGATCTCAGGCCTTTTCTGATCACTCAGGACTAAAACGGTCTTTAGCATTTGTGACTGGCTAAAATCCCCCAGCCATTGCCAGGTTTTTTGGGGCCTTCCCTACCTAGAGCGTGTCCCGGGAGGGCAGAGGGCTCGTCTCTCATTTACTACTATATCCTCAGCTGAGAGAAATGCTGGCGCATAGTGGGAGCTTCACAAGTTTGGTGGCTGCCTGGATGACCCTGGGGACCTGTCTGCCCACTGTAGACCCCCAGGTTCAGAGCTCAGGCCCAGGGGCAGGGTCCTAGAGAAGCTCTGTCCCACACACCTGCTGTACGCAGAGCCACTGTTTGTCATCCTGACCTGGTCCCACCTGCTCCCTGGGCTCTCTGATGCCTGGTGCACCCCAAGTCCTAGCCCTGCCCGGCCCCCACACCTTGTCACCATGGGCACACCAGCCCTGTCCTAAGCTGGCTCGCCTCCCTGGGGAAAGGGAGAGCCCCCAGCCTGACACTCGTGATGGAGTTCCACATTCACCGCTGGATGCCGGCCGCCGCTTGGAACTTCTCCTTTGGGGTTTCACAAGACGTCATGATTATACTTCCATGATTATACTGCCCTGAAAACAGCATGAACACGAAGCCAGGGCACCAAGACATAGAGTAAATAAACACCACAGTTGCCCGGAGGCTGAGAGCAGAGAGCAAACGCTGAAGCCAAGATGACTTGAGTCGATTCCAGGCGTCACCATGCGTGGCCCTGGGCAAATCACCTGATGGCTCCGAACCTGTGTTCAAAGGATGGCAGCAGCTGTGGTCCTGAGACCGTCTGGAAATATCAACGCAAAGTTTATCATGTGCCAGGCCCAGGGACACAGAGAGGGACAAAGAGCAGAGGCCCTGCCCTCTCCCAGCTTACAGTCTAGCAGACAGGCAGATACTCAGCAGAGAACACTCATGTAAGTCTATACTCCAAGAAGTGCCATGAACACAGGCCAGGGGACCACAGGGAGCCTTACTGGCCTGGACGGAGTGGCCTGGGAAGACCTATCAGGGTTTTCAGGCTGAGAACTTAAGGCTGAGAAGAGACAAGTCATGGGTGGGATGGAAGCTGTCTGGGTGCAGGGTCCTGCCCTGGGCAACATAGGTGTG